TACACGACCTAAAAAGCAGCACTTTCTGCTGTCCATCTGCCTTCTGATGAGAAGTGCTTGGTTTCTTGGTGACTTCAGACAGAGATCTCCCCAGCCACCCACAGATGTTCCACGTAAATAAAACAGAACCTAAACCAGGTCATTTCTCACAGGAAAGGTAGAATGAAATTTACTCTGAGTGCTTTATGGTAGTTTTGAAATTGAAGTACTTAAACAATACCTCATCCTTTGGAAGTTAAAAGGATACATTTAAAAATGTCCTATTTCACTGTACTAGAAATTGATGATTCTAAGTACAAAAGTTAATACTGTGGGGTTTTTTTTGAATCAACATCATTTCATGTGAGATTATCTGAAAACATCAAACTAACCTTATCCTGCCAAGAAACAGCCCCTTGGTATCTTTTTAAAAGATGCTGGAAGCAAGTCTCGTGTGCAGAGCCGTTCCCCACTGTGCTGCTGGCCTACAAAGGGCTTTTAATAATAGCTTGACAGATACTGTCCTTTAAAAAGTGTATTATTTTATTACAGTAGCTTGACTGATAGGTAATACACTGCACACACTCTGCTATTGTTGCTCTAAAATTAAAGACAGAAGTCAGAATGTTTTCTAAATCCAGCTTCTCCAGATACGTCAAACTCATGCCATGAGGTTTGCAACATGAACACACCCTTTTGGCCTAAGTTACTATCTGATCTTGAAATAGAAAACAGTCCCATATCAACATTTATATTCACATTTCATATTCATCAGCCTTTCTTCTAAATGAAATTAGGTTGAACATTGAAAACACATGGCTAATTTTAGTAAAATCATAAACATCTTTAGCTGAAAGGAGCAGTAAAATCCACCCATTTCACAGTTTGGCAGTGAGAACATAACAATGAACTTCACAGAAAACCTTAGTTGTTGACTTCCTAGTTTTTATGACAAATACTGAATGTGGGATGGCAACAGTCAACACAGGATGCTACAAGATGCAGCCACTCAAGCCAAACACTGACAGACAATCAGCCTTCAAATATTTGCTTTACATTCCTGAAATAACACGTGCAATTTTGGCCAGCCAAGAAGCATCCTGTACCCACCTGCAAGAAAGAACTTGCAATAGACATCCTATTTTTGCAAGCGTTATTGCTGCTGTTTACCTAAACAGCCTCACTTTTCTTCAGCTTTAATGTCTACACTTGTTAGGCAGCATTTGAAGCACTGAGGAATTCAGGAAGGCCTCCTGGAAACAACAAAACCACCCTACTGCCAAAGCCTTATTGTGCCTTCCCCTCAGCCTGGAAGTGCCTCTCCTTACACTCTCTCTTTTGGTAAGATACAGTAGAATTAAATACTTCACACTTAGGTCACTTCTATCAAAAAGGTTTCAGAAGACTTTTTGCACCCTGAAGAAGTAAAGCCTAAGGAGATACTTTATTTCAGTGCAGCTTCTAATGAATGATTTGTATTTCTAGAGGAGTCACAGAACTACCACTCATATTCCCCAGAAAAAGAATCTGCCAGAGCAGGGAAACACACCCATGTGTGTGCTGTGAAATCACTCTTCATTACTTTTCATCAAGTTACAACATCCAAGACCAGGTAACTTACAAAATTAGATACAACAATTTTTTTTTCTGCCATACTCCACAGACAGACTCAGAAATCATTAGCACCCCAACAACACCACCAAATTTAGGGCTGTAACTCCTCTAGCTTGTCCTTTTGCACAAGGGGAAAGCTGATCACTTTTAGCTGATCACATTTAGCTGATCACTTGTTTGCCCTGTGCCCTAGAAGTGTTCCAAGAAAATTGCACTGGGGGCTTTCCAATCAAAGTTGACTGGAATTTAAATCAAGACCTGGGCACTTGGTTAAGGAAAGAAAGTTTGTTGTTGTTTTTTGTTTGGTTGTTTGTTTTCAGTAGCCCATTACACATTAAAAAACAATTTACTCATCTCCACCACCTAAAAATCAGACTGAAACCACCACATGCCTCTAAATCACACACTGCCAAGTTAGTCACTGCAAGCAGGCAGTGGTCATCTCTCAACAGACACCTTAGCTGGGGCATTACCAGACCTCTAACACAGCACAGAGCACCTGAAATAGCCTCATACACCATCTACCCTCCATAAATAAGGCAACCAGATCTACCTACTGGTCAGGTCCACTGCAAGAACAATTGACTTAATTGGATTAGAATCATTATTTCAAATTAGCCAAGTGTTTTATGTCCCTACTCCAATCCATTTAAACACCTGAAGAGTTTTCCGAGGGCATAAACCAACCCAAAACCAAAACTTCAAACTCTTAAAAAGTCAAACAAAAGTCTATCACTTATGTAAAGAATAAAAGGCCAAGCTTTGGCTTTCAAATACCAGCAACTTCACTGATGGCTACAAGGCAAAGAAAAAAAAGGTAAACCCAGGTTGAGGAAAAATGCCATTCCACCCTATCAATACAGAGATGATGAGTAAACATAGAATGATTTTTACTAAGATTCAAAGTTTCCAACTCCAAACCACTAATCTCTCTCCTCGAAAGTGCTTGACTAGGGAATACACCAATTCACTCATTTTCAAACGAATGTAACTGAACCCTTTTATGTGCTTCTTCACTCCCATTAGCTGAAAGGAGCAGTGTTGAACAGATGTAGCCTCAGAGACCATTCTACACTTTGCTCTGAAGGCAGTTTCACAAAGTTACAAGAATACAGGAAGAAAGGAAAAACAACTTACAGACATAGGCACGAGAGAATTTGCTGAAAACAGCAATAGGTGAGATCCAAGTTTCCCCATTTAGCCTGTTTTTTCTCAATTCAAGACCTTTGGAAAAGGTACCACTTACAGAAAACCCAGCTATTTGCTGGATTTCACACAGAGTACTCTTAAAATTAGAGATGCAAACGTTGAAACAGTACCTAATAGAATGTAAAAGCAAAAGCAATACCAGAATGAAATTACTATTTTTATTCTTTTAAGTATTTTTGCTTTATTGCTACAGATGTCATAAATGTTAAAAAAAAAAAAAAAAGGACAGTGCCTGATGACTTTGTGTGTTACCTTAAGAAAATCATTTGATTTGTTCTTGTTTCTAAATACAGACAGGTCTTGAGGCAGAAGAGGTGGCTTTGTAATTTTAGCAGAAGATAAGCTTCAGAAGGTCAACTATATGGTTTGGTTTGGTTCTCAACTGAGCAGGTGGTAGCCAAAGAAGTTAGTCCCTGTAACATACCAAGACCTGTATCACAATAGTACTTGCTCTGGAAGCTGACAAGAAGTTTCTCACAGCATGCCAAAACCTCTCCCAAGCAGACAGGCAAGACCTCCTAGCCACAGAACGGTTGTTCCACAGAAGTTAAACAAGATTTTGTTAAACAAATTGCCAAAGCCTTCAGCTACCTTAAAAAGCAAACAAAGGAGGTTTCTTCCCTGGATTCTCCTGCCAAGCTTCACTCAAATGCCTTGAGTCACAGATGGGCCTGCTGACGTGACAATACACTGAGGCACTGTGCTGGGGAATGTTTCAGGGCACAAGCTCAACATTAACAACTCCCATTCTGCTTATTTGCTTCAGTAAAAACATCTCTTCTCCAGTAATACCCAAATAAAGGGGACAACCAACTGCATACCACTGATTTGATGCACTACAAGCCAAACAAATCATATTCTCTAAGGTAACGTTCCAACTTGTTCTACAGCTCAATAATGAAATGCAGTTTAAGCTTTCCAAACCAAGCTGAGAGGCAAAGCAGGGTATATTGTAGTTACTCAGCTCTCTAGTTTCAAAACCAAGGACAAGAGCACCATCTGCAACAAAAGACCCCAACAACTTTCCATTTCACAAGCACCTTTTTTAAAGATGGAGAATTTTTTAAAGTAGAAAGCAAACCTATCACTGAAAAAAATGTGATATCTTCTAGAACTTCAGCAGATGAAGTTCCATCATTCTACATCGTTTTGTCCCCTTCTAGAATAGCAAAGCATCTGCTATCAAGG